TGTGTGTGTTAGACACTATCATGAGGCTATACTTTATTTAATACCTCTCCTTTTATTAGACATTTAGAATATTTTATTTTTTAAATTTTGTTGTTGTTGTTGAAAATATACACAGTAAAACACACACCAATTCAACCGTTTCTGCATGTACAATTCAGTGACGTTGATTACATTCTTTGAGTTCTGCAGCCATTCTCACCCTCCTTTTCTGAGTTGTTTCTTCTTCATTAACATAAAGTCACTACCCTCTAAGGTTCTTAGCTAATCTTTTGAGCTGCTTTTGTCACTTTGATCCCATATAGATAGTTCTTAAAAGAGCATAATGCTCAAGGAAGACATTCTTTACTAGTTAAGCTAGAATATTATTTGGTTTTAAGAAGACTTCATGGAATATTTTTGTTTAAGGTTTGAAGATTATTTCAGGACAATAGTTTCAGGGGTTCATCCAGCCTCTGTGGCTCCAGAAAGTCTAGAGTCCACGAGAATTTCAAATTCTGTTCTATGTTTTCCTCCTTTTGATCAGGATTCTTCTATAGAATTTTGATCAAAATGTTCAGTAATGATAGCCTGGCACCATCCAGTTCTGGTCTCATGGCAAAGGAGGCAGTTGTTGATGGAGGCAATTAGCCACACATTCCATTTCTTCCTTCTATTTCTCACTCTCCTTCTTCTGTTGCTCCAGGCTAATAGAGACCAATCATTGTGCCTTGGCTGGCCACTTGCTGAGCACTATGTAATGAGGTGGAACAGAAGCACTAAACATGTTATTAGGCTAATTAACTGGGATGTCCCATGAAACTATGACCCCAAACCTTCAAATCAAGGAATCAAATCCCATGAAGCAGGCTCAGCTGCTTTTTTTTTTATTGTTATAAATATATCTATCACACAACCTTTGCCAATTCAGCTTTTTATAGGTATACAACTTATTGATAGCAATTACAATAATTGACTATCAATCCTACCGTTAAAAATCAATGCAATTTTTCCATCACTGATGACTCCACCTCCATTTTCCCCTCTCTCCCACCCTGGTAACCACTAATAAACTTTGTTCTCTCTACATTTGCCTTTTCTTGTCTTTTTATATAAGTGAGGTCATACAGTATTTGTTCTTTTGTGATTGACTTATTTCACTCAGCATAATGTCTTCCAGCTCCATCCGTATTGTAGCATGTATCAAGACTTCATTTCTTCTACTGGCTGAGCAGTATTCCATTGTATGTATGCACCACATTTTGTTTATCCACTCATTTGCTGATGGGCTTTTAGATTGTTTCCACCTTTTGGCTATTGCAAATAGTGCTGCAATGAACATTGGCATACAAGTCTCTGTTTGAGTCTCTGCTTTTAAGTCTTTTGGGTATATACCTAGGAGTTGAATTGCTGGGTCATATGGTAGTTTTGAGGAGCCCTGGTTGCTCAGTGGTTAAAGCACTCAGCTGAAAACCAAAAGGTTGACAGTTCGAACCCACCAGCTGCTCCAGGGGAGAAAGATGTGGCAGTCTGCTTCCGTAAAGATTTACAGCCTTGGTGAGGTCATGGAAGCTCCATAGACACATCTAAACTCCTCAAAGGACTGAATTACTGGGCTGAGAGCTGTGGGGACCATGGTCTTGG